ATGTAATTCAATGTTTAGATAAGTTTTATCAACCAAAATTAAGTGAACAAGTGCTTGCAGTTTTTTCATGAAGCCCGATTAGCTCAGTTGGTAGAGCATCAGACTTTTAATCTGAGGGCCAGGGGTTCAAATCCCCTTTCGGGATGGGAAAATTTAGACATTGCTTCAGGTTCGTTTTTTGAAATTAAAATCAATGAAAGAAAAGCAAAATAATAATTAGAGTTGGTATTTTTGTAAATAAGACTTATTAAATGTAATATACTAATTAATAAATTCATTTTAAACCACCAGATAACAAATCTATCATTAATGTGAGTGCTCACCATTGAATTAAACCTCAGACCTATTCCTGAAAAGATTACAATCATGCTGGTAGACAAGTGAACCAACTTATTACATTCATTGAAAAATAGTTTAACTTTAAATGTTATCAACTGATTTTTTTATATTTTGTTTAAACCTAACAATGCATACTTCTAAAAAGACTCATCTATAACAATAATGCTATGAAAAGTACTTAATTAATAATTTTAATAAAAATCTTTTATTTAACTAAAGTTAATGACAAATTAACATAATGAAGATGTAATTGACGAAAATATGGCAAATTTAATAAAATTACAAATTAAGTTGCTTGACAATAGTTTTTTATAAATACTGTAAAATAAATGCAAAAAAAGAAAAAGAACAAGTTCTATTTAAAAATGTAAGTAATTTTTTCCAGACTTTAGGAAACAGCTTAAAGTCTTTTTGAGAGTTGAAAAACATCTGAGAAAAAAGATACAAAATGTGTTAAACTCTTTTTATTTTTAAGTGCTATGAAGTAATTTAGAAACTAATTAGTTTATTCAATCATTGCTTTGATAACAATAATTATAGATGTGACATTTTAATTGCAAAAAATGAGGCCGATTGTTTCTCCTGCATGTAGGATTCAAAAATGCAATGTTTTCTCTTTACCATTACATCATAGACTCTATTAGTTTTAAAACAAACAGAAATTGTGTAATATAATATTATTTTTAAATATTTAGCATGTGTTTTTTAACATTTTCAATTTTTTATCGAGATATTAATGATAATCTGTATATTTTGTATTACAGAAATAAAAAATTCTAGTTGGGAAAATGTCACAACTATAAAATTCATTTTAAGTTATAAACAGTTATAATGACGAATGCCATTAACAGGTTTGGAATCTGGCCTTTTGCTGCTAAAATGCATTGATTTAAGTATTTTATTATCACAGGTTACATTTTATAACTTACAATAAGCCAAAAACATTATTTAATTTATTTATTTATATTTAAATCCTAAATTTCGTGTTATGTGCAAATTTTTTTAAGATTGTAGTAAATAATTTTGTTATTATTGTAAACAATTTTAATTTTTAGTCAGAATTCTTTAGAAATGCTAGTCATTTTCAAATAATACTAACAATAGGTTTCTTTAAAAGTAAATATTAATACGTTTTTTTGTCTTTACTTCATAAGAATTACTTAATAAAATATTTGGAAAAAAAACAAATATTAAATTGCACTTTTGCACCTAAAAGCTTCTTTGGAGCATTATCTTAAAAATATTGAAATTGGCTGTATTAACATGCAATTTGTAAAAAATGAAAATATTGTAAACATAATAAATTTCTAATGTAATTACTGGACAACAATGATTAAGAATTATTGCAACAAATACTGGGAAACAAGACAACAAATTTATTCTTAAAATGTGATCAATGTTACTCAGTGTTTTACAATTATAATAAAATTTTGTGACAGTTATATAAAATATGAGCAAAAAAAACAAAATTTGTAATATTTTTTTCATAATGCAATTGTTACCACTTACCAAGTGTTTTACAAAAATTTTATTTTTGAAATCTTGCTTTCAAAAATATTCATTTATCTTAAGTTTTGAATAATGAATAGCAGAGTTTGAATATAGGTCTTGCTGCAAAAATATGATGTATTAAGAATTTCTTTGTCAAACAATAAATTTTTTAACGAGTCAGATATATCTATAATACTTTAATTTTCTTTTTTGTAGTTTTATGAGAAATATAATTGATGTTTTAATGCTTGTAAAGTATTTAACTTTACTTTTGTGAACTTTTAATAAGTGAGGAGATATTTAGCCCATCTTTCAAATTTTACTGGATGTAATTCAATGTTTAGATAAGTTTTATCAACCAAAATTAAGTGAACAAGTGCTTGCGAAAAATGTAAGTAATTTTTACCAGACTTTAGGAAAGAACTTAAAGTCTTTTTTGAGAGTTGAAAAACATCTGAGCAAAAAGATACAAAATGTGTTAAACTCTTCTTATTTTTAAGTGCTATGAAGTAATTTAGAAAATAATTAGTTTATTCAATCATTGCTTTGATAACAATAATTATAGATATGACATTTTAATTGCAAAAAGGAAGGCCGATTGTTTCTCCTGCAGCTAGGATTCAAAAATGCAATGTTTTCTCTTTACCACTACATCATAGACTCTATTAGTTTCAAAACAAAAAGAAATTGTGCAATATAATATTATTTTTAAATATTTAGCATGTGTTTTTAATATTTTCAATGTTTTATTGAGATATTAATGATAATCTGTATATTTTGTATTAATGAAATAAAAAAATTTCTAGTTGGGAAAATGTCACAACTATAAAATTCATTTTAAGTTATAAACAGTTATAAAGATGAATGCCATCACCAGGTTTGGAATGTGGCCTTTTGCTGCTAAATGCATTCATTTAACTATTTTATTATCACAGGTTACATTTTATAACTTACGATCAGCCAAAAATATTTTTTACTTTATTTACTTTATTTTTAAATCATAACTTTCTTGTTATGTGCAAATTTTTTCAGATTGTAGTAAATGATTTTATTATTATTGTAAACAAATTTAATTTTTAGTCAGAATTTTTTAGAAATGCCGGTCATTTTCGAATAATACTTTCTAAAAATTTGCTTGATTTAATTCATTAACGAGATCAGTTTTACAAAGAAAAATTACTTAAGAAATTGTAATAAATTTATGGAGCATGATCACTTAGTTGTTACAGCACGACAAATATTTGTATAATGACAAGGGTACTAAATTCCGTTTTTATCTATAAAAACACTGGTTGATACATAAAACCCTGTTGTTGATTTCATCTTAGTAATGGATGCTTTTAGATAAATTTTCTTAATTATTGTTTAACAAAAACATTAATACTTTGGTTTATTTTTTTTGCTGTCAACACATTTATTCCAAAGTAATGATTTGAAATCTTTAATAGGATTCTCTAGATGAACAATACTAAATATGATAGTATACTTAATAATATGAAAACTCATTAAATTGTATTCTTTGATGAACCTAACAAAAGATTGCTTTATACATACTCAGTTAGAGAACCTATATCACTATCCAGTACTTAGTAATTTTTTCTGCAATTTATGTTACTAATAATATATAGATATTGAAAAAAAATAACAAGTATTAAATCAGAATTGCTTGTGATAGAAAAGGTTTATCACAAGTTGTTATTGGTAAATAACTAGTTTAGTGTTACATTGCCTATTTTTATCTTGATAAGTGTAGGGCTCACCCGGGAATTGAACCCAGGACCTCTTGCTTCCAAAGCAAGAATCATACCACTAGACTAGAAAGCCGAATTGATGTTGAGCCACATCAAACATTTAATTAAGTTAGAGTTATAGTCACTTATGTTTTAATGTATTGTAACAATGGGTTTCTTTAAAAAGAAACATTAATACGTTTTTCTCTTTACTTCGTAAGAATTACTGAATAAAAAAATTGGAGAAAAAACTAATATTAAATTGCAATTTTGTACCTAAAAGCTTCGTTGGAGCATATTTTTAATAAATGATAATATTGTAAACATAATAAATTTCTTATGTAATTACTGGACAACAATAGGCCTTTTCAAATAAGAGTTGGGGACTAGGGCAAGTTTTAGCCCGCAAGCACGTCTGGGATTGTTAGTGGGGACAGCTTTTTATATTATTATAGTTGGAAAAAAAAAGTGAAGATGGAAAGCGCGTTTGAGTGTAAAGATAAAAGTTTTTCGCTAAATGAAAGTGATATTCCCGGAGCTAAGCTACCTAAGCCGATTGAGGAATGCAATTGTGCAATTTTACGACGATGGCTTCTTTGCAGAGGAGCAAAAACCTCTGGTAAACTCTCTGATTTACGACTGAGGTCAGTAATTTACTTTTAATTTTAAGTTTTTATTTTTATATAATCTAACATTCATTTGATTTATTTCGTCCTTTTTATGAAGGAATTAAAAATCGTTTAAAGAATAACTATATATTTTTTATTGCAGAGTCAAAAATTATATCGAACATAAACTGGCGGAAAAGTATCTACGTGACCCCGATGGAGGCGTTCATGTTTTGAAAAAGAAAGCACAAGCTGGTCTCCTACATCAGACATTGCCATCAGAAGTTAAAAGTTTTCCTACCACAGGATATAGTGCCAACCTATCAAATCTACCAAAAGTTACTTTTGGCACTGTATGGAAGTTTATGATAGACAGCATGGAATTCAAAAGACGACTTTCAACTGCTAAGCCTCTAGTGAAAGGCTATAATTTCTTTAAGTCAAACCATGTGCTGTGTTTGTATTATCTCCACAAGGATTCAAAACATTACATCAAAAGTCAGGTCTTGCCTTCAATGAAGAAAAAGATGGTATATACTTGTTACATTAAGCTTTCATCATTTGGCTTTGTATTGTCAGCCAAATGTGGGTGCCCAGCAGGTGTGGATGGGAGATGTAATCACGTCTGTGCAACTCTTTTTTTCCTTGACTCTGTTTGCAAGAAAAATAAGAAGTCATCTTCAGAAATTTCATGCACGTCAAAGCCATGTGAATGGAGTGTACCAAGAAAGAGAAAAGAAGAAGTGCAGCCAATTTCTGCAATGAAGTTCCAGAAATATGACTACAACAAAGAGAACAAAAAAGAAGAAGATAAATGCAAATACTAGGATGTCAGCTCCATTAACCAGGAAGGTTTAAATAGTAAAAAGTTACAAAGCATTTTTAACAAATTTAAAGAACTAGAAAATGAGGTTGGGAAGTCCATTGGATGGTGTCACATTTTACCCCAGGATATCCCAGTTGAGAAGTATGAGAATGAACTCATATCTCCCATAAAAGTTCAAGACAGCCCTATGGCAATGAGTGCCATTAAAGAGAGGATGGAAAAGATTAAGAAATGCCTTTTCATAGACTACAGAAAGGCCACAGAAATTGAGAAAGAAACTAGAGAGCAATCCTTTAATAAGAAATGGCACCTACATCGACAATACCGCATTACAGCATCTAAATGCTATAGAGCTGCTGTACTTAAACAAACAACCTCACCAACAAAGGCCATTAATGAAATTTTGTATGCCAAATTTTCAGCAACGAAGCAAATGATAAAAGGACTAGAAATGGAACCAGAAATAATGAAGCAATACATAAAGGAGCAACACAAACGTGGACATGACAATTTGTCTGTGTCACAGTCAGGTCTGATTGTTGGCAAGCATGATGATGGTTTCTTAGGGGCTAGTCCTGATGGCTTGGTTTGTGATCCCTCGAACAATAATGAACCTTTAGGTATCCTAGAAATGAAGTTCATAGAAACATCTGAAAAGGAAAGTTTAACAGAAGCTGTCTTACGTAAGCACATGTGTGTCAAGCACAAACTTGACAACAGTGGTATTACAATTAACAGAAACCACAAATATTTTTACCAAATACAGCAGGGAATGTATTTATCAGGGAGGAAGTGGGCAGACTTTGTGATTGCTGGATCTTGTTCACCTGGTATATATATTGAAAGAGTACCTTTTGACTCTAATTTCTGGTGCAATACTAAGGCAAAACTTAAGATTTTCTATGAAGAATTTATTATTCCTGAACTAGCATATCCAAAGATCAAGTATGGGCTGCCAAGAAACAATTTCACAGGAGATAATTAAATGGTGTAACTTGTAAAGATTTTTTAAAACATAAATTACTAAGGATAAATAACAGTTGAAAATTTAATCTCTGTCAAAATATAATTAAAAAAAGGGCTTTTTTGCTGTAAATCTGTTTTTAATCATGATACTGAATTTCTAAATTATCATTATTGAAATGGCTTGTTTTATTTATTTATCAATTTTAAACATGAGAATGAAGGCAAAATCTAACAAACAAGTGGTGGCAAAAAATTAGCCAATGCTGCTATGACCACAAGTGCATCTGATGCTAATGGGGCCATAGTGATAGGGATCTTTCTATCTAATATGTGCCAGTTTTTTAGTCTTTCCATTTGTCGTTCAACATGTATGCGCAGGCTAGCTATAGCTTTGTTCTTGTTAATTTCTTCTTGTGTAAATTGGGTTTTCTTTTGGAGAAAAGAAGGAGCTTCAAGAAATGCTCCAACTGACGCAAGTTCATCTTTTATGTTAAAGCCTCTGTCTGCCATGACACTATCTCCAGGGGAGAGAATGTCCAAGAAATTGCTTTTTTTAACTATTTCCAAATCAGAAGTGCTTCCAGGGAATAACTCACTGATGTACGACAACACACCACTAGGTGTGATTCCAATTAAAACCTTCATTGTTGGTCTGCTTTTGTAAGAAGAATAACAGGCAGACTGATTGTTCAAAGCTGATGGCCTTTCCATCTCAATCTCTGTGCAATCAATTACAATAACTACCTGGGGGAAGAGCTGTTTGAATGCAGGGGGGCTGTAATATTTGATTGTATCTCTTTCTGGCATTCTGATTAATGACCCAAGTTTTGCACGGAGCAGTTTTATCCACTTGCGAATGATGTTCGAGACTGTACCAACTGCCACGCCAAATCGGTGAGCCAAGTCCTTTTCAAAAAGGCCCAATCTTAATCTCATTAAAACGAAAATATATTCTTCATAACAACTTAGTGCTCTTGGCCTACCAAGCTTTGGTCTTCTAATCTGTGTGTCATCTGTATTATCACCATTAATATCAATTCTTGACTCCTCAACTAAATTGAAACAAAATGTCAGCATTTTGTAGTTAGATAAACCAGTATAGAACTCTATATCAGAATCACTTGATTTGTATTTGTCAATATCAAATCTACTTTGTCGTTGTTGTTCTCTTGCCAGGTTGTTTTTGGTGATTTCAAGTAATTTTGTTAAACGCAGCAGTTCACTTTCGAGAAATATTTGTTCTTGTATAATTTGCTTTTTAACGTCTTGAAGTAGCAGGACATCGTCCTTAGCTTTGCAGAAACATGCCAAGTCTGTCTGAGTAGCAGAAGATTGAAGATGAGATGCTTGGTCGTTTTGTAGTTGTTCGCTTTCAATATCAACTTCATAATTTTGCATAAAGTTCTTTCTCTTGCGTTTGTGTTTACTAATTTTTTCCTGACTGGCTCTGGTTATCTCTCTGCGTTGTTCTTTACGTACAGTCCACGGAAAAACAGACGGAAGATGAGTTCTGCTCAATTTTTTCGCGCCTTCCCAGTGATCACAACAAATCCTTGTGTTCGGAGACGCCACTTTGAGGTTGTCGTTTCTTATAAGAAAATCGTATTTTTTACGTAGTTCTAAATCCTTTGGCAAGCAATAAAATTTGAAATCGCGAGGCTTATTTCTGTGGCTGTTGCTACAACCTGGCACACAGCAGTTATACTTTGGCATTCTTGCTAAATCACATAAACACTTTCATCAACATATGTATAAACACTGCACTTCTATTCGCGAGGTAATTTTGTGTCCCCGGTAACGATCCCAGAAACGCTTGCAGGCAAAAATCGCCTTAGTCCCCGCCTCATTTTTGAAAAGGCTTATTGGATTGTTGACAAACTGCACGGATATAATTATTTAGCACTAGAGGTTAATTTATGCATGATTTAACCGAGGCGTAATTTGAAGCGTAATATTCATTCGGACAAAAGGATTTAGGGGCCGTTTATATGGTCTCGGGTACTAGGGTTCCCTACTGCCCAAGAAACCCTGGGAGGGCTTAGTTATTATAATTTTATACTAGATTAGCAGCGAGCGTTTACATGAGAAATTCTTTACATGAGTGGCTCTCCTTCTACAGATTCTCTATGTTTTGGAGTGGATACACAAAGTATCAATTATTCTGGGAAAGAACAGTCAGGTAATAAATAATAAACAATTTTAAATATTCTGCTACTAGATTCTGTTCAGTTGTCGTCACAAAATACAGAAATTTGATCTTCTGTGGTAGGCATAACCTTCAATAAAAACCAGTCATTCTTTTGTGCAAGAGTCTAATCTAATGTAGTGCTCCTTTCTTATGTGGTTACTTATTTTTTGTAAATAGATTGCTCTCGCCCTGAAACACCTTTGAGTACATTAGATGCAGATGTAGAAAACAGTGAATCAGAGTTTGATAGTTTATATGCAGAAAATATTGGCTCTACATTTTCTTGTGCTTTTGCACAAAAAAGAAAAATTGATCTATCATCTTCAAATGTGCCACGGCTAATAGACAATAAGCGTAAAAATCTAGAGAAGAGATTATCAGCAGCACAACGAGACCAGAAGCTGAGGGACGCCGCAAAGGAAGACACAGAAATGAGAAGAGAAATGCTTGAATGTTTTAAGGAATCATCTAAAACAACAGCTCGTGCAATTGAAAACATGTCTTCTACTTTGAAAGAATTGACACAAGGAATGACCCAAGCAATGTTGTCTATTGCAAATAGCTTCTTCCAACCTAGAAGAAATTATTCCTCATGTTTTCCATATGATTTTAATCAACCATTGTCATTTTCCACCCCAAACACATCTTTCTCTTATTCAAGTGAAACTCATGAAACATTGCATTAGATGCAGTAACTTATATGTTAGCTGGGGAAGATTATTATTTTGTTTAATAGCTATATGGGGACTAGTTTATAAATTTATTGTATTGTTTATGCACAGAATCAAAACTTATGATTGTTATGTAATGTGATTTTGGCTGACTTGTACAGGTATCAAATCAGAGAAATTAAAAACAGATACTTTTGGTAGCTTTATTCACTATTAAAACTCAAGTAAAAAATTAGAGTTCAGTGTGTTCCTTTAGAAAAGCAACTATTGTCTTTCTGGTAGATGTTCCTTCAGCAGTGTTACAAGAGAAAATCAAGTCTTGCTGAATATCTGGTTGTACTTCCCTATCATATTTAATTTGCTTCAAAACACCATCATCATCGTCGTGAATTCCGTGTAATTGACAAAAGTTATGTAAAACAAAACATGCATATATCATATAAGGAACATTTTCATTCTTCAGGTTTAGTACAGTGTTAAGTTTTGCCATCTAGCTTTCAATCGTCCAAAGGCACACTCAATCTGATTCCTTGAGGATCTCAACAGATTGTTAAAAATGACTTCTTCATTACTCTTGCAACATTCAAACTCAGTCATGCAATATGGCAGTAATGGATAAGCTGGGTCCGCAAGAAGCAGAGATGATACCTTGTCGTGGCCTGGAACTAAATTCCGATAAACACTAGGCAACTTGTTTTCTCTCAGCATTTTGTTTATTTTAGAGTTACTAAAAACTTTAGCATCGTGCACACTCCCTGGCCATCGGCAGTCAACGTCAAGGAATAACTCTCTATAGTCACAAACTGCTTGGATGTTCAAGGTATATTTCATCTTGTAAGAAAAATAATCGTGAGAGTTCTCTAATGGTTGTTGGATAGCAATGTGGGTGCCGTCTATGCATCCAAAGGCTTGAGGGAAATCATGCTTTGATTCAAACCTTATGATCAATTCTCTCATTTCTTCAGAAGATTGTGGTAACTTGATGTACTTGGGACCAAGATATTTGCTGATTGCTCGACAGACTTCGTTGACAGTTTTGGAGACAGTTGGTGTAGCAACTCCAAAGGAGTTTGCAGTCATTCGAATAGAGCCAGTATCTTTAAGAAAATATAAAGTTAATGCTACTTTTATTTCGAATGAAACTGCTGTCCAATTAGGAGTTGCAAAATTTGGTTTAATAAAAGGTTCGAGTTCTTGAACCAATTTCATGAAATCGTCTTTGCTCATGCGAAGATTCAAGTTCCACTCCTGGAGATCAAGTTCACCGAGCCAGAGATTACTCCACCATCGCTCTGTCCTACCGGGCTTCTGCCAGCATGAACGAAATCTTCCTCGTCGACTTGTAATTTTTCGTTTTGCTTTCAAAACATGAGGATTTTCCTTAGCTGTGCCCAAGCACAGGAGAATATCTTGCTGCATTTGCTGGTGCACAGTAAGCAATGTAATACATGCGTCTAACATGGAAAGAACCGACACTATATTCAAAATTATGGGGCATATAGAAAATACAATTTCTGCGTTATCCATCTTGGATTTTGTTGAGTGTAGAGTGAACTGGGAACGAGTTAAAAAGAGAGCGTGCAATCTCTCATGTAAGCGCTAGACAACTTTGTCTCGGGCAGTAGGGTAACCCTAGTACCCGAGACCATATTAACGGCCCCTTAGTCTATAAGTGCAGCTGACAGTTACCACATGCCAACCTGAGCGAAAGCTTAATCATTGTATTGCTTTTATTATATCTACTAACCTGAATTGAAATTAATGTAGATCGTGAGGACCCGGCAAAAAGTGAGTTTACGTAATTGCGTTTGGTACACTGTTAAACAGAGCACATATGTGATTCATACTATATCATTATTTACTAGATCGAATAAAAATTATTTACTTATAATCTATACGATTCCGACTCACGTATATATCGGACTGCTAACCTGAGAATCCACAACATTCGATTTCTGAAGAAAAATTAATCGCGTGGAGAACCTGAACCATAAGTAACGAAGACGAGGCACTGAAGACTGCTAAGCTCAAACGCCGAGCAGCCAAGTGTACATTGACAAGACTGGGAAAGGCCTTGAATCATCTGTGTATAAATAAAAGACCAGCAAACGAGGTAAGCGACTATCTCCTCAAAGTAAAACAAGCGTTCGACAATGTTGTAGAGAAACATGAGCTTTATGCAAATTTGATTATGAACGATGAAGCTTTTGAAGCAGAAGAGCATTGGTTAGATGAGTGCCAAAACGAATTTTTAAAACTTGATATTGAGGCAAAATATTATATCGAACAATTGGTTTCAGTGAAAATTTCAGAAACTAACATCAGTCAAAACGAGCAAAATTCGTCTGGAATGATCGGAATGCAAAATGTTGACAGCGCAAGTAATATGAGCCCCACAGTTATTGAGGAAAACCAGACCAGCGTAGGTGATGAAATGAGCAATGTAGCAGAAAGTTCCCCTGCGGTAATGTCCGAGGAATCTGTCAACACTCCCACCGAAATAAGCCCAACAAATGAGGAAAATTTTCCGAATCAAATTACGTCCCAATCTGAAGTAAAAAATGAATCTGAAAATACACGAAGTCCCTGCGGGTTACAAATGGAGAAACCAAAGCTACCGAAATTTTCGGGCGACGTACGTGAATATGCAATATTTCGTGCGGATTTCAAGCATGCAATTGAATCGAGATATACAAAACGAGATTCAATAACACTACTGCGAACTTGTTTGAAAGAGAAACCACTTGAATTAATAAAAGGTATTGGTTCTGATTATGATGTAGCGTGGGAATACTTAGATTCAATTTACGGGGACCCTCGGTACGTGTCAGACACCATAACGCAGGACATCGTTAAATTTAAAGCCCTAGAAACAGGAGAAGACGCGCGTTTCTGTGATTTAGTTCATTTGGTTAGGCGGTGTTTCAGCACGTTGAAAGAGGTAGGGGTTTCGAGTGACATGGATAACAGCCACATGCTATCCATAATTGAACAAAAGATGTGTCCAGATGATGAAAAGTGTGGTCGAGAGACTTAGAGAGAGAGAAAAGGCCCGCAAACCTTAAAGCGTTGATGAATTGGATGACAATTGAGATGAAGTCGCGCATGCATGCAACAGCCCCAGTCAGGAGTGGTACGTCTCTCACTCGACGCAAAGTCAATCATGTCAATGGTACAGTCACGGAAGAAAGTAAAAACTGATTCAAGTGTTGGCTCTGCAAGAACTCAAATCATTGGCCGGACCAGTGTCAAAAATTGGCAGCGATGTCTGTTGATGAGCGAATAAAAGTTGCAAAAGATAATCACGTGTGTTTCAGCTGCTTGAAGAAAGCGGGTCGGGATCATCGTCAGGCAAATTGCAGCAGGCGAAAGCAATGCACCAAGTATGAAAATGGAGTCCAGTGCACATCCAGTCACCATCCACTGCTGCACAATTCAGGTGCAACCATTGCATTAGTAACTGGTCTAAACGACTCAATCCTACCAGTTATTTCTGCCAACATTTGCGGATCAAATGGTCTCTACAAGCGCGGCAACGTTCTTCTGGATACTGGATCTCAGATAAGTCTAATCCGCAGCGAAACGGCGGAGAGTCTCGGTCTGAAAGGGAAAGACATCTCCGTTAACATCGTAAAAATAGGTGGAGAGGAAGAGTCAATCTGCACAAAGAGCTACAAAGTTCAAGTAAGCAGAATCGGAGAATCAAAGAAGTACACAATCACTGCAGTTGGAATACCATATATCAGTGAGGATGTCAAAGGAATCAATACCAGGAATGCAATCGAAAAACTCGGATTACCAAAGGATAAGGTGAAGCGTGGAAAGGGCCAAGCCGACTTACTTGTTGGAATCGATCATTCATACATGCACACGGGTCAAACGAAGCAAGTCGAACATGTGGTCGCGAGAGAATCGCCACTCGGCTGGGTTCTGTTCGGATCATCAACGGGACAGTCATACAATGCAACAACAACTGTGTTACACGTGAGGTACCCAGAAGCAGTTGATTTATCAGAATTTTGGGCAACCGAAGCCATGGGAGTAACAGTAAAGCCGTGCACCTGTGAAGCTGAAAAATCGAGCCAATCCGAAAGAGAAGAAAAGCAAGTGATTGAACAGTCTGCAAAAAAGGTTGGAAAGCAGTGGATGATTCCATATCCATGGAAGAAAAACCCCCAAGACTTACCAGACAACAGAATCCAGGCATTGAAACGACTAGAGTCAACTGAGCGTCGATTATTGAAAATTCCTACGCAAGCAGCAGCGTACAACAACAAGATGACAGAAATGGAAAACATGGGGTTTTCTCGAAAGTTATCCGAGAAGGAAGTTAAAGAACACAAACAACCATTCCATTACATCTCCCACCATGCAGTTCTAAGACCTGACAGTACGAGCACCCCGGTTCGTATCGTGTTCAACTCGTCCGCTACGTTCCTAGGACATAAGCTCAACGATTATTGGCAAAAGGGGCCTGATCTTCTGAACTCTCTATTCGGAGTTATTCTCCGTTTTAGGGAAAATAAAGTTGCCCTCACTGCTGACATCTCAAAGATGTACCACCGAGTCCTTATTTCTGTCGAAGAGCAGCACGCACACCGATTCCTATGGAGGGATTTAGAGATTGATAGACCTCCGGACACTTTCGTTATGAACGTACTTACGTTCGGTGACAAACCTGCACCAGCGATGGCCCAAGTTGTCTTGCGGAAAACTGCAGATGAAGGAGCATCACAGAACCCGAGAGCAGCAAAAGTTATAATGGACAATTCTTACATGGACGATATTCTGGATTCAGTTGCTACAAATGAAGAAGCAATCGGGTTGATTAAAGCAATCGACAGCATCCTTGATAATGGCGGGTTTCATGAGAAGGGATGGCAATCAAACGGAGAGTTGAACAGGAAAGACGAGCAAGAAGATGGTAATGAAGTTGATGTTCCTCATGGAAAACAAGAGTCAAAAGTGCTCGGCCTGGCCTGGAACAAGAAAGAGGATGTGCTTTAGTATAAAGTAAAAGTAGAAATATGCCACACCCAACATTCAAAGTTCACAAAGAGGAAGATCCTAAGCCAAGTCGCTAGAATATATGACCGAATTGGGCTTTGCAGCACCTTACCTTATAAGAGCAAAGATTGGTTTGCAGGAACTGTGGCAGCAAGGACTCGACTGGGACCATGAACTATCGCAAAGTGATCAAACAAAATGGTTGATGTACTTTAAAGAGATGGATCAGTTAAACGAAATATCGTTGGAAAGATGTCTATGTCCCGTTGTAATGATTGAGCCACCGATCTTATGTGCCTTTGCCGACGCATCGCGAGAAGCATTTGGAACATGTGCATATTTGAGAAGTATAGAACCTACTGGAGTGGTGAACATACGGTTTGTTGCAGCAGTCACTAGTCGCCCCATTGAAAGAGCTAACAATACCCAGATTAGAACTACAAGCAGCCGTGTTAGCCAGCCGTTTATGCAAGACCATCCAAAATGAACTCCATATACCACTAAAAGAGAGTGTCTTGTTTACCGACAGCGCAATTGTTCTTTCGTGGATCCGCAGCCAGGGAAGACGACTCAAACCATTTGTTCCAAGTCGAGTCGGGGAAATACAAAGCAACGTCCAACCTGCTCAATGGAGACACATCCCAACGGATCAGAACGTGGCAGATGATGTATCACGTGGTCTCCGTGTTGTTGAGCTGTCGGATAGATGGAAAAACGGTCCTGAATTCCTGTACTTGCCAAAGGAAGAATGGCCGGTCGAAAACGCAAAACCCGATGCAAAAGAAGTTAAAACGGAATGTAAAAGTTCAAAATTGGTAGGTGCAGTGACAACGTCAGGAAACGTAATTGACAGTGAAAGGTTTTCAAGTTGGATAAAGCTCGTACGAGTTACTGCTTGGGTTTTGAGAGCTAAGTCAACCTTATTAGCAAAGGTAGGGTCGACAGCGAAGGACACAGCAAGAGGAGATTGCTTAACACCGGCAGAACTCTAAAGAAGTAGGACATTCTGGATCAAAAGAGCTCAAACAAAGATTCGTGCACAAGTGAAATCTAACGAATTAAGATCTCTGAGCCCTTTTACCGATGAAGAAGGCACGGTCAGAGTTGGCGGAAGAATTGATAGCTCATTAGTTTCTTACAAAACCAAGCATCCTTCTCTCTTGCCCTATAATCACCAAATCTCGAAATTGATAGTGGAAGAGATTCAGAAAAGAGGTCACCACGGGGTGGCAACTACGGTAGCAAAAATCAGAAGAATGTATGGGATCATTCGAGCACATGATTTAGCAAAGAGCATCAAGGCAAAGTGTGTCACGTGTCGAGCAGCAAACTCAAAAACCGAATCACAGATAATGGCCAACTTACCACCACAGCGACTTGAACCCCATCCCCCACCGTTTCACTACACAGCATGCGACTACTTTGGACCACTGACTGTCAAAGTGGGAAGAAACAAGAGAACGAAACATTACTGAGTAATCTTTACGTGCCTAAATACTCGAGCAGTCCACCTAGAAATCGCCACTGATTGTTCAGCGATGGAATTTATCCAGATTCTGCCAAGATTCTTCTCAATTCGGGGATACCCAGCAGAAATCTTGAGTGATAACGGTACGCAGTTTGTTGGTGCATTGACCGATCTGCGCAAAATGATCCAAGGAGCTGACAAAAGGCTACTTCAAAACTACTGCGCAGAAAAGGGCGTACAATGGAAGTTTAGCACCCCAGCGTCACCACATCAAAACGGGTGTGCAGAGGCGAAGGTGAAAAGCTGCAAACGAGCCCTGAAGAGAGCGATTGGAGAACACATACTTACTCCGTTTGAGCGTCATACTTGTTTACTGGAAGTAGCGAATTTAGTAAATCAACGCCCAATTGGACGACCTCCGAATGATCCCGATGACGGCTCATATTTGTGCCTCAATGATATGCTCCTGGGTAGAGCATCTGTTCAAGTACCACAAGGTCCGTTTCAAGAAACCAAAAACCTCAGAAGAAGGGTGGAGTTTGTGCAAAAGATCGTGGAGTCGTATTGGAAACGATGGACAAGAGACACATTTCCATTACTTGTCTCCAGGAAAAAATGGAATCAGGAAAAGAGAAATATGCGAGTTGACGATGTGGTAATAGTGGCTGACGGACATGCTGTACGAGGAAAGTGGACAGTAGGACGGATAGTAGAAGTGTACCCCGGAGAGGATGGAAAGATACGAAACGTGAAGGTCAAAACAAGTTCAGGAGAGTACTCGAGACCAATCACCAAGATTGCTGTGATTCAAGCAGCAGAAGAAATAAACTGATAAGTAATGTTTCCTTATCGGGAGGATGGATTGCTGACAAACTGCATGGATATAATTATTTAGCACTAGAGGTTAATTTATGCATGTCTTAACCGACGCGTGATTTGACGCATAATATTCATTCGGACAAAAGGATTTAGTCTATAAGTGCAGCTGACAGTTACCACATGCTAACCTGAGCGAAAGCTTAATCATTGTATTGCTTTTATTATATCTACTAACCTGAATTGAAATTAATGTAGATCGTGAGGACCCGGCAAAGAAGTGAGTTTACGTAATTACGTTTGGTATACTGTTAAACAGAGCACATATGTGATTCATACTATATCATTATTTACTAGATCGAATAAAAATTATTTACTTATAATCTATACGATTCCGACTCACGTATCTATCGGACTGCTAACCTGAGAATCCAACAATGATTATAAAATTAGTGCATCAAATACTGGGATAACAAGACGACAAATTTTATTCTTAAAATGTGATCAATGTTACTCAGTATTTTACAAATATAATAAAATTTTGTGTGACAGTTATATAAAATATGAGTCAAAAAAACAAAATTTGTAATATTTTTGTTATAATGCAAGTGTTACCACTTACAAAGTGTTTTACAAAAATATTATTTTTTCAAACATTGCTTTCAAAAATATATATTTGTCTTAAGTTTTGAATAATGAATTGCAGAGTTTGAATGTAGGTCTTGCTGCAAACATATGATGTATTAAGAATTTCTTTGTCAAAAAGAAATTTTTACTTGAAAAAAATAACAAGTATTAAATCAGAATTGCTTGTGATAGAAAATTTTTATCACAAGTTGTTATTGGTAAATAACTAGTTTAGTGTTACATTCCCTATTTTTATGCTGATAAGTGTGGGCTCACCTGGAAATTGAACCCAGGACCTCTTGCTCCCAAAGCAAGAATCATACCACTAGACTAGTGAGCCGAATTGAAGTTGAGCCACCTCAAACATTTATTTAAGTTAGAGTTATATTCACTTATGATTTAATGTATTGTAACAATGGGTTTCTTTAAAAATAAACATGAATACGTTTTTTTCTCTTTATTTTGAAAGAAATAGTTAACAAAATATTTGGGAAAAAAAACTAATATTAAATCACAATTTTGCACCTAAAATTCTTTGAAACATTCTTTTACAAACATTCAAATTGGCTGTCTTAACATGCAATTTGTAATAAATGAAAAGATTGTAAACATAATAAATATCTTACGTAATTACTGGAAAACAATGACTAAGACTTAGTGCAACAAATACTGGGAAAACAAGATCACAAATTTTATTCTTAAATTGTGATCAATATTACTCAGTAATTTAAAAATATAATAAAAGTTTGTGTGACAGTTATATAAAATATGAGCAAAAAAAACAAAATTTGTAATATTTTTGTTATAATGCAAGTGTTACCACTTAACAAGTGTTTTACAAAATTATTATTTTTTCAAACATTGCTTTCAAAAATATGTATTTGTCTTAAGTTTTGAATAACGAATAGCAGAGTTTGAATATAGGTCTTGCTGCAAACATGTGATGTATTAAGAATTTCTTTGTTAAAAAATAAATTTTTAAGGAGTCAGATATATCTAGAATACTTTAATTTTACAAAATATGGTTTCTTCTGTCTTGTACTTTTATGAAAAATATAAATAACGTTTAAAGGCTTGTAAAGTATTTAACTTTACTGCTGAGAACTTTTAATAAGTGAAGAGGTATTTAGCACATCTTTTCAAATTTTACTGTATGCAAGTCAATGTTTCGATAAGTTTTATCAACCAAAAATAAGTGAGCAAGTAATTGTAGATTTTTCATGAAGCCCGATTAGCTCAGTTGGTAGAGCATCAGACTTTTAATCTGAGGGCCAGGGGTTCGAATCCCCTATCGGGCTGGGAAGATTTACACATTAAATTAAATCACATTGCTTCATGTTCATTTTTTGAAAATTAAAATCAAAGAAAGAAAAGCAAAATAATAATTAGAATTGGTATTTTTGTAAAAACGACTTAACAAATGTAATATTCTAATTAATAAAGTCATTGTAAACCACCAGATTACAAATCTATAATTAATGTGAGTGCTCACCAATGAGTTAAACCTAAGACCTATTCCTGCAAAGAATACAATCACACTGCTAGACAAATGAACCGACTTATTACATGCACTGAACTATAATTTAACTTGAAATGTTATCAACTGATTTTTTCATATTTGCTTTATACCAAGCAATGCATACTTCTAAAAAGACTCATGTGTAACAAGAATACTATGAAAGTTATTTAATTAATAATTTTAATAAAAATCTTTTATTTAACTAAAGTTAATGAAAAATTAACATAATGAAGATGTAATTGATGAAAATATGGTTAATTTAATAAAATTTCGAATTAAGTTGCTTGATAATAGTTTATTATAAATACTGTTTGTATAATGACAAGGGTACTAAATTCCGTTATTATCTATAAAAACACTGGTTAATACATAAAACCCTGTTGTTGATTTCATCTTAGTAATGGATGCTTTTAGATAAATTTACTTAATTACTGTTTAACAAAAACATTAATACATTGGTTTATTTTTTTGCTGTCAACACATTTATTCCGAAGTAATGATTTGAAATCTTTAATAGGATTCTCTAGATGAACAATACTAAATATGATAGTATACTTAATAATATGAAAA